GGAGCATTGAAGTCTTCCGGACAAAGATCAAGGTCCAGGTGACGGAATTTCAAGTGTCCTTTCGTCAATGATATCAACAACGACACAGGCAGAGGTCTTCTGCACTGAGATATCAAGCTGGATCAGAACTGTCATACTACGGGCCTGAAAAGCAGCAGAGTTGATTCTCCAAGAGCCTCCAACCCTCATGAAGTTAGAGCTCTGGCGTCAACACTCGCTCTACTTGGGAATCGCTCTATCAGGTCGATAATGAAGGGCTGCTTCTGTAAATGGGACGTGGTGTTCGCCAACCACTACCCACCAGGGACATCGCCACTGAGGACGGCTCTGACATTCACCATTTCGGCCCCTCTTATTGTAGCACAACAATTGACAGTCCCACAAAGGCGCTGAGACGGAGTCTCGCCCTTTATCACATGACTTACAAAGCTTTCACTCAGCAGAGTTCTGCTTAAGTTGCAATGCACGTCTACGACTAGCATAAGTGATATGACTCAGTACTTATAAGGATACTTGTACAAGAATGGGTCGCTTCTCCACTTGGTGCTTGCATCAAGAAATGGAGTCGCAAAAATCCACATAAAATGTTAACAGAAGAAGGACCCAAGAGTTAACTATTGTAGTCCCCATATAAAGGTAGCTGGAAGGACAGGGTCGCAACAGCAGCTTGAGATTAACAGTTAATTACGAGTGCCAACTCAGAAGTTCCATAGAAAGTATAGACGTAAATCACTACATAGAATCCAAAGTATCTTGCCCGCCGCCATTTCCGTCAGATTCTACAAGTAAATAAGCATGAGTCAGGATAAGGAAAAAATATGTAATTTTCTGAATAAAATTGATGTTTTATACTTATCCTGACTCATGAGGTAAGTCTCCCTCAGCCTCCTTTAGACACTTTGGATTTCCCTGAAACTTCAAGTGTCGGCCTCATAATCAGGAGAGAGTGAGGCACGTGGGGACGGTGGCGCCACAGTTACCCGCCCTAAACAGCTGGGAGGATAACTCTTGGCAGAAGAGTGATTTTACGTCTGTTTTTATTGAAGGGAACTCTCAATAGGAGATACAAGTGTTCCACTACAGTTCGCAAGAGGAAGGAGACAAGCAAATAAGCATGAGTCAGGATAAGTATAAAATATCAATTTTATTCAGAAAATTACATATTTTTTTGTTTGTAAAGCCTTAAGAACAATTCAGTTTTGGCAGATTCATAATTAAGATCATATTCTGATGTTGCACTGAAGTGTCAGAGGCACAGATCACCTCCAGTTAAACTGAAGGTGTCAAGCTATGTTTTTCATGGTGATGGATGTCAGGGGTGGCATGGCGATACATGATGGCAGTCTGGTAGTAATCAAATCTTGTCTAGATAGTTTCAGTGATTGACATCATGAGCATCTATCTATGGAATTGGAATACGGTGACATCCATGTCATCTTGCCCGACCACCGAATAAATGTAGTTACCATTTTAAACAAGCATAGGTGTCTGGAGACCGATGTTATTACCCACAATCCCTACACGCTCTCAAATTGATCATAATTGGATTATGGATGGATTAAATTTCTGTCACAGGTCCCAAGTTATTTGTAAAGCCCAGTTCTAAATCCAACCGCAACATAATCATGAACGCCATCAGTCACTGCTGTCTAGCAGGCTGCGTCAACACAGACACGAAGAACAAGGTTTTGGAGGTATGGATGAATAACATTTTTACTTACTGATATGTATTCGTCACCAACATCTGAATGACTCTGTACGGTCATGTTGTAGTTTTCAATGTGTATGTTATCATTTACTCATAATAAAATTTTGTGTTTCTGATTGGTGAGCTGTCGTCACGAAAATTCAGATGTAAAGTATTTCTCTGTACAAGTCAATACATAATGTGTCATGTGTGGCACTAGTAGGGTGTATGGGATGTTATGGGTGGAATGTTGGTGTACACCCCTCACCCTGTGGTGTTCATGCCCATTCAGTTCATAAGGTAATGTACATCCCACAAGTGACATATGGAACTTTTATTCTTGCACAAACGCAGCGAGGATCTACCAAAAGCATCATTGTAATGTTTGCTTTCATATAGGTTAAAGGACCTTAGGGGTCAAAACAATGACTGATCTGTTCAAACTCGGTATCGTGTGTTTGAGTTGGGCAAGGTACAGGATGGTTCATGCAGCTGTACATGTGGATGCATGTTGCCGAATGACGGAAATAGTCTCATGAAAACCATATTTCACCTCACCTCACCTATAGTGAGTATTTAAGGCTAGAGTTTGATGTTTCACCTTTGTCCTCCTCCAGATCATCTCCCAGACTGATGCCAAGCACTTCCTCATCCTGTTCCGAGACGGAGGCTGTCAGTTTAAGGGCCTGTACACCTATGCACCAGAGATGGAAGAAATATTCAAAAACATGGAGTTGGACCAAAGCAAATCACCAACAAAATGGTGGAAAAGTTTTTATAAGTAAGTGAGAATAATCATTTCAAGAAGTGAAAAATCCTGTATTGTTCTTTATCAAAAGTCATTGGTTGTCCAAACACATGGATGATATTATTGGCGATAAACAATTATGTAATTCTATTACAGATACAACTCAGGTGCCAAAAGCTTCACTGATTGAGGTAAAGTCTACCAAGCATATATCTGTGTCTATTGATGCTGTTGTGGTGCACAATGCTTTGTGGAAGACAAGTAAACCTGGCGCTGCTAAGAAATAGATCCTGCTGTAGTCACTGATCTCAGTCACAACACAGTCAAGACACAGTCCAGGGACTCTCTGACAGAGAATAGGAGATAGCTACTTTTAGCCTTCCTTGTAACAGTCACAGACGGCCATCTGGATATCAAATAGTCATCCCTGGCACTGGATAGTGCTTGAAATGTTATGACAGTTGTGTGCATTCGGCCTGGGAAGTATCTCAGCTTTGTGGTAATGGCAAGTTTAATGTGTTCTGTTCTGTTTGGACCATTCTGTGCTGCTTTTAAAGGTGTATCTCAATAATGTGAAAAAGATACTTCATGCCTAGTCACACCGATATGAATATCAATTTTAGCCCAAAATTACACCAGAGAAAATCATTTTGTGGTCATGGTAATGTTTTATAAATAATGTGTGAATGAATACTAAGGGCATTGATACTTTCTACAGCATGACCAAAGATTCAGTGATGGATTTATTTGAATTGAAGTTACAGTAATATCATACAGTTATATTTTCAACAAATCCGACAATACTGTATGTATGGAAAAATTGTTAAGATGGTTATATGGTGTCATGGATGACAATGTATTTAGAAATATGATTTACAGGTAATGGCTTCCCAGATCCGATCCCAGTCTGATACACATTTTGTATAAGATGCCAAGTTATAGGATATAGTCAGGTTAGCTTGGAGTCTGCCGTCACAGTAAGACGAAACGTTCATATGTCAAGCAATATTCCAGCCAACAGTCCCATTAAGCAGAAACTGCATCGGCTATGAAGTGTATGACCTGCTTTGTTGAAATGTGATTATGCAAGTCTTCTCATGTACTGCTTGATAGTCTGTTCACAGTGGCTCATGCCAAACTAGTTACATTTGTTAAATTATTTTAATATATTCCACTACACATGACCATGATTACTACTGCTGTTCTATGTGTGTATGAACCACAGTAGTGGGACATGTGGGACATTATCGTTTTATCCCATTCAACTGAAATGTTAGTGAAAGGTTTGTATTTGATATGGTTCAGAATTTTTTAATTGATTTTAGCCATTATTCACTGTTGATGGAGACTTCGACTTGTTTCTTCAATTTTAATCAACATATACATGAGTATATATCATTGTATATATATAGTATCATGATCTGGCCTCGAAACAACATTTTGTCACACACACAACGTGTAAATGTAGACCCTGCATTATCATCATAACTAATAACCATAATCAATAAACAGACAGCAGAAATGTTCTGGTGTCACCAGTTCAGCAAACCATATTAACAGTGTAAGACATGTCAAGCTTCATTTTGCATGTTATCCTCTGAGACTAAGTCATACTGGAACCTATTGTGTATCAATTATTGTAGGCATGGGTTGTAGGAATGGGAAAGAGGACTGGTAATTTTGGTGATTACAGGATTTATGGTTGTATGTGAAGAGTTGTGAATATGTAGATTTTGACCTAATGTATAAACCCTAGTTGTAGAGTTGAAGACATGCCAGTGAGGCCCAGGCTATTGCTCCCAGTACAGTTGTGGGTCTTTCAGAGTTCAGCTGTTAGCTTCCTGTCCGTCACGGCTGTTTCCATTTAACACTCCTGCGATGACCAATGCTTTTGTGACTGTGGACAATAACCTTCCTTCTATCTCAAGTAGCAATGGTTCTATTTATGCATAATTCTGCTCTGCTTTGCTGTTTGTTCAAACTGGAGTGGCAAGAGATATGCAGCATGGACCTGATGCTTATAGTAGTGTCAGAATTATGTCCCTTTAGCTGCCTTAATCCCCCAGCCAGAGGGTAATCACATAAGAAGAATGATCTTTAAATGACCCTTTGTTTACATTTTAGAAACAGTTGATTTCATTATATATTTTTGTTTCCTGTTAGCAGTAGTTTGGATACCTTTCCTGACAAAGATTCAACATTTTAATTGTTACTTGTGGAGACAGAATAAATACACAGTGTCATCTTGTTACTCCAAGTTGTATGTGCAGCCAGCAAGTACAATATTATTTATGTGTGAGAAAGCCTGTGATACTATTGGCCTTTACAACTTTCAATATGTTGCTGTGACAGTGTGCATCTAAAATGACAAATAAATGTTTGTTGCCAGCTAACACTAGTTTTGTGGATCAGTAAAGTTTTTCCACAGTATTTCAGTCAAATGACAGTGTTATGGATGAATAGAGACTTCTTTTGCACATATGTCCATGATATATATACGCTGTATGAAGTTGTATGGTTGAACAGGTTATCATGTCTGTGTCTGTAATAATTCTCCCAAGTGGATGATTGTCCTCAGTTCTCCAGTGTGAAAATATATGTATATTCTATAAATGAAAATACAACCACCTTTGTACCCACTCACTACCACAGCTTCTTTCAAATAATCGGCGGTGGGGTAGCCTAGTGGTTAAAGTGCTGGCTCGTCACGCCGAAGACCAAGGTTCGATTCCCACATGGGCACAATGTGTTAAGCCCATTTCTGGTGTCCCCCCGCCGTGATATTGCTGGAATATTGCTAAAAGCGGCGTAAAAAACTAAACTCAGTCAGTCTCTTCAAATAATCAAATCCAACCAAATAAATCGGGGTTCGCACAGGTTTGAAAAAGCCTGAAATTTTGACATTTTGCACTAAAAGGGCCTATATTTATTTAATTTTACCAGGAAACTAAAAACATAAGAAAATACCTTTGCAATGAAATGTGCGTTAATTTATCTCCAAAGCAAAACTTTCCCAGTGCAGCAAAGTGTAGCTACGAGTTATTTCCCCTGCTTGCTGGTCCCGCAGTTGACCTTGAGTGTATTCAACTACATCTACCTACTGCGTGTATGTGTTATACCTGTTTCTATAGTTCCTTAAGAATGTTGATTGGGCCTTATGACAGAATGGAGATACTATGCACTATTTTGGTTGTGTCATCCTACTGCCTGTAGTAGCTTAAAGACTCAACCATGATCCATGCAGTCTTAAAAACACATAGATAAATTTGATTTATTTCTCTTCATGTTCATATTATTTTTCTGATACATATTTCCTTTTCCTAAATACACCATAAATTCTATAAAGTGTAACAAGGCTTTAGGTGCCTGGGAAGCTTGAGGAATAGAATAATCTTAACAAGAACACAAGATTAGGGCAAATGTCAAGGCAGTACAGCACTTCACAGAATACTGAGTAACAGTCTACCACCGGGTATTCTTTGTCAAATTACGTCCTTTCATATCAGTTACAATAAGTAACCTTGGTAACAACTGTCTATCATAATAATAATATTTGACATTGTAACACTATACCCATGCATACATTGTAGTCCTTACAATAAGATACCATATAAGATTAAAAGGTACAAAATGTCATTAACATGAATATATTAGCTTACAGCTTGAATAGAAACTGATTAATGTCAGTGGAGTCAAACCCTGAACATACAAGATAAACATTAACAACAAATGAGTTGGATTTAATGGCTCTGAACAGTATTCAAGCTATATCAGCTCAGTATCAGTAACCACAGAAGATGCAGGTACAAGACATTAACCACTTGATGAAAGCAACACAGGAATGGTACTGCCAAACCTAGAAACATATTCCAGATTCAAACCCATGATGGAGCTAATTGCGGCAATATGCAACTGGTGACCCCTCAGGACACGAGAACTGGTTAATAAAGATGTGTATAGGGTTACCTGTAGCAAAATTAATACCATAGGACCTTTTGTATGATAAGTATAAAACATCACAGTGCACGAAGAGCACGAGTTGTTTTGATATGAACACTTGGATGTAACTGTCAGGGAATAATGCGTAATGCTGCAGTCAGCAATGTTTATATTCCTTTAAATAATCAATCTGACAAGAGATTGCATGGATCATTACTCATACTTTCAAGCAATGATCCACAATCAGCTAAGTGACTGGGCCAGATGATCGATGTTAGTCAACCCTTACAAGCAGAAGTTACTGCGATTAAATTCTCACCAAAAAATTAGCCAAAAGGGTGGTACCACAATCAACCAGTCTGCAAAGCAGAGTCAACCAAATATTTGTCAAAAAAATATTACATTCATTTAGTTGAACTGAACCCTATTTACAAAGCTAAAGCAAAGGCAGTTACTGATAAGGATGTGCCAGGTTCTTAAATGTCTGGGTATAAAACATGTAATAAATTAAATAATTACATAACCACTTATATATGAGCATATTGCTCCATATACAACATACAAGAGTAAAGTCCTTCAAAAGGTTCCTCTCATGATAAATAAGATCCCTTCTTTCTCATGATTCTAGTGCTGAAAACACAAACAGTAAATGCATTTTATCAGGTTTTACAGTTCTGAGTCAAGTAACTTACATCCTGAAGGACAAAATAGGAACAAATTATCTAATTGTAAGTGTTAAAAGCAGCTCTCATAACACAAGCAGTAACCGCAGCTGATTGTCTACCAACATTTGTTTGATAAATGAGTGTCATCAAGGATTGGAAGTTTCGGGGATCAGTGTAGTGCTGTATCTTATGCTGTGTCTTCCAGTGATGTTCCAGAGTTGCATGAATGTCCAAGTGATGCAGGGTTGGGAGATCTTCACCTCCTGTGAAACCCCCAGAGAGGCAGGGGTGGGAAGCTAATAATGAGATGACTGTCACCACGATGTTGAGTGACGTGAGAACACTGTCAGAATGGAAGGACCAGCAGAACCTAACAGAACCATCCCTACTGATGTCCCTGTTCTGGCAGCAGGACCATAGAGCTTTGTTTGTTTTGATCAGGCTATAATGTTTCAAATCCAAATAAAACAAAAATACAGTTTGACTGAACCTGTTTTGTAACACAGTCATGATAAATTTGTTTCTTTAAATAGAACTATGCCTTTTGTCACATTTCCATTCAACAATATGATCAAGTTAACTTATTTATGTATATATATTTTACTCTTGCATCTTATCACACTGTACAAATCAGTACAACAAGAAATGCAACTTACGGGAATGAAAAGGAAACAAGCATAATTTCTTGCTTTACAGATTTTCTTGGTAGGGACAGCAAGTAAAATTTTGGAGATATTTTGAAGTTATTTTCCAGAAACAAAACCTCTTATAGAGCTTTCACACAAATACAGAACACCTTGTTCTTTAATTTGTAAAATTAAAAGCCAACTTGTTCACATAACATAAAAAGTCAAAAACAAAGAAAGCTCCACATGAATTCATACATGACAATAACCACATGACAGTTTCAAAATCAACTGGTCTTGGTGGATCTCAAGTAGTCCTCACCAAAACATGTAATACTGATCACCAATACTCTGTCTTATTGTACAAGGTCAATACTTACTGATTAACAACATCAAAACAAAATCAAAGCAGGAAAATCTGTGTGTTCCAGATTTCCATCTCCATACAAAGTCTATTCATAGTTTCCCAACATATCACTAGATCATCGGGCCGGCATTTAATAAATCCCTCTTATTGATTTGACCCCCCACAATGTTTTCTTGCCTAAGGGATGTAACTCTGGCAATGTCAGCACATTCACCAACCAGTTCCTAATATACAAGTGTTAGGGACAGGTCACTTATTATTGGTGGTGGGATTGGTCTTAGGAATGCAACTGTGTTTCACACACGGCAAACAAACAAAGCCCTTTTCTGAATATCTTTATATCAGGGTGATATGAAAATACCCCAGTCTGTTGAACATCATAAAGTTTGGTTTGTTTGAATGTTGTTTAACACTGCACTCACAATATTCAGTTACATGGCTGCAGTCTGTCAATAATATAGTCTGGACCAGACAATCAGTGATCAACCTCATAAGAGCATCGATCTACCCAATTAGGGATACGATGACATGTGTGTCAACCAAGTCAGTAAAGTCTGACAACCCGATCCCATTAGTCACTCCTAGTAAAAAGGATGGATTACTGAAAACCAATTCTAAACCCGTACATTCACAGGTGAACTTTATGAAGAGAAACAACTACAGGTGCCATAAAATGAGATATTACCAGAATCAAAGCATTTATATTGTATATTTTTATTATTTCCTGTATATTTTCAACAATGTTCGATGTCATAGAAAGATTACTTTAAGACACTAGAACTGTGTAATGTCTTCAATGCTTTTGACCCCACCCTGACCCTTTAGCAATCCCACCTCTTCTGTTGTGATATTATTCCATGACTCCTACCTTAATCTCGCCAGCCCACCACCCCCATATGATGAATATGACCTGTCCTTTAGTGTCCAACACTGGCAGGTACTTCAAAGAAATGCTGTTCTAAGATATAAACATAAAGTGGAGGGAAACTATGGACAACAAGTGGTACCCCAGGGAACTGCTGTTGTATCAGGTTGAGTCTGTATTGCCCTTAGAGAGCTGGGAACAATGTACTGTAGTCACACAGGCAGAAGGGTATCTGTGGTTTCTATACTGAGTACTTGTGCACACTCTTGATGCTGTGTCTTCAACTGCCATATGGAACTTGTCACTGGCACCAGAATGTTGCAGGAATGGCACGATCAAAGTCTTGTTGAGTCATATATATCACAATCTTGCAAAAGCTGTAAAGGAGAAAAGCTCATTTTATGGAACTATCATTATTTTTATCAATGATTTTATAAAACACTCTATAGAATAGAACAAAATAGAATACATGTATAACAAAAGCAATCAGAAAATCACTATCAAATCCGTCAATGTTATATAACAAGAATAAAGACATAATCTTGATACTGGTGGTTGTGGAGGTGAGAAGACCTATAAAGCTACAAGGTGTGGTGTGGTATGGCATGGTGTGTTTGGGCTTGTAATAGCCATGATGATGCCAGTTATTTTAGTGCTAGCCCACTGAGATACTATGCCTTAGTTTAACATGTATACCCAACTCTCCCACACACAGTATAAAAACCTGCAAACCAACCAGTCCTTGTTTAAATCCAATAATGCCCTGCTTCAGGCAGGGAAACAAGGAAGTGCCATCTACTGAAGTATTCTGGTATGTGAGCCAGGGATCAGAAACAATCGACCTTATGCTCAGTTCACTACACTTCAGATGGACAACACATTGGAAACAACAGGAGAAAATGATATTCTACATACTGATGCAATCAGTCAAGGCTAATATATATGAACAAAAACTAGCCATCACCTAATTGTTTGATCAGCATTCTAGAAGTGGGCAAGTCCAAAAGAAACATACAACTTTTATGGATGACGACTTCTTGTTTATTGCATAGAGCAACATTTCGATGTAGATTCTTACATCAAGCTAAAAGTGACTTCAACCAAATGGTGAGAATGTATCACCTATGAAAGACAGAAAAGTCTCAAACACTATCACAAGCACAGCAAAATACAGCTGCAACGATGGAGCTGATGTGCCAGTGTTTCAGTTATGTAATAGCATATCAGCCTTCCTGTTGAGTGTAATGCTATGACTGTCGTTGAAGTGTAGGATTAATGACCATTACAGTACTGAAACAGTGATCTTCCCTTTGTAGAGTCAGCCTACACACCTCTGTTGTTAGCGCCACCTTCATCTACAAACCTGACTTAGTTATGCCTTTGTCTTAAAACCTGGCTCTTGTTCACTCAGCCCTTGTCTATAAAATTGTCATTATTTCAACCTCCATCTCTAAAAACCGGGCAGCTTACAAACGAGAGGCCATCTGAAAAAAAGCCACCTTTATTCTACAGATCATATTAAGTTTAGAAATACAACAGTCACAGTGTTAGACAGGAAATGAGTCTAACCATATCAGTACAAACCTGAAAGTGGCAGGTTCAACCTTTAAGGTGTGAGTCCAGAGCTGGCATGCTTGACTGGGTCGCTTCCTTGGCCTTCACGAACGATGTGGAGAGATATGTTTCAAACGATGGTAATGTCAACGGCACGTCAATTGCCTTGACTGCGGTCTGGTCCGGCATCACTGTCACTTTCTTAATTGGAGCCATGGTCTTTAACCTTTCAAGGTTCTTCTTGTGTTTGGCACCTGCAGAATACAATATCCTTTGTCTGTGAAGGCAGGATCAATGCACTTCAGGGGAAATAACTTTAAAAATTGCTTGTGTACTCCAGTACAGCGGCACATGTAAAATCACTTGCCGTGATAACGTTTCCACTATACAGGACGATTTTCTTGTTGATTTTTTAAATAAGCAACATGATGAACATTGGAAAGTCAACTGGACACCGGTACAGTGTGATATACAAATTTGCATGCCCGACAGAAAAAAACACTGGACTGGGACGTTTGGCAATGGGTTATTTCCACCCCTACACTTTGGTGTATATTTCAAAAAGTGAGAAAGTGAATGTTGTGCCACAAATAATCAAAGCAAACCAGCAACTGAAGCAGTCGCAACATCCCACACCAATGTGGTCTGAAGACTTACAATCAGTCAGAAACCCTGACTTCCCTTCTTACAAGCAGCTATTGGATGCTGGGCACCTGATCTAACCAGATGCCTTAATCATAAAGTTTAATGACTATGAAAATAAGGCAAACTATTCCTCAATCATGTTCTCAGTCCCTCTCACCTGATTCTGAGGCATCCAGCCTCTCTTGAACTGAAAAGGGCATGGGTTGACATATCAAACAGTAATGCATTCCTTTGGCATGCCAGAAACCAATTATTGTGATTTCAACTCCTGCCATCGATTATGTTTCTAGGTTTGTCGGGACCCTATCCATGCTCTGGGTTTCATCAACACGTTGAACATCTGCATCACTTGGAGTTTTCTCCGACATTAAGTGGCCATGCCATGAAAGACTTGGAATACTGTTCATTAAACCAAAGTTACCTACTCAATAGCCTCCTCAATAACTCTGAGGGAGACAAAATAGAACATCTGACTCCTGATGCACCACGGCCCATAAAAATATGTTACCCCCAAAAAAATGTAACATAGCTGCCCAAGAGCCAATCATCTGTTAGCCTAACAGAATGGAATGCTAACATGTTACAGCTGTAGCAGCCTTATCCCACATGACAGGAGACGAGACTGACTGTGTTTGTTATAGCAAAACATGTGCACTTTGCTACTCCCCACCTTCTCTGTGTTTATCTAGCTGCTCCTGGGAGTTGACCTGTATCTTGCAGAAGCCACAGTATAACATCCCAGTCGCCTTCGTAGGCCCAGCTTCTGCAATAACCAGATATTGGCACATGTACTATTAAAATGAGTATCAAGGGTAAATCGACTTTACCACAGTAGTAAGTACTGCTGGAAATGCTCAGCTATTTGTGGGAAGTGGGCATCATGAGCGAGTTAGGTTTTATGCCGCTTGTAGCAATATTCCAGCAATATCACGACAGGGGACACCAGAAATGGGCTTCTCACATTGCACCCATGTGAGGAATCAAACCTGGGTCTTCAGCATGATGAGCATATGCTTTAACCAATAGGCTACCCAACAACCCGTGGGCATCATGAACTCTGGGGATGCCAATATTGGTCACTGGGTTTTGGTACTCTATGCTCTTACACAAAATACATGGCTGCCGGTCATTTGCAAAGCACCATTACAGGTGACTACAGCAGCCACCTCATCCCCTGTAAATAGTGATTTACTTTCACTGTGCCACTCATTCATATACACTGAAGTGACAATATAACTCTAGTTGACACATCAGTTCAAAGCAGCAGAAATTACTCAATCTTTGGCTGTTTTAATACATGTATTATTATACAAAAGAAAACACAATGGAATTTAGAAAGTGGTTAAATGTAATGCATTTTTTTCTATTTGGGATTACACTTTCCTAGTAAAGTACATATTCTAGTATTTTTGCTGGGTTGAGTCCCATCCAGGATTCGAACCCACACCCTCAGAGTCGGGCAGCTAATTGCCAGCACACAAAGTCAGCCCTCCATCCCCTCAGCCACCGCGGCTTCAACATCAGATGGGACTCAACCAAACAAAAGCACAAGAATCTGTCGCTTTACTAAGAAAGTGTAATCCCAAATATAACATGTTATAAAAAAGTCATTCTTCATTATTTGTTTGATTAACTTAAACATGATTCAGTACAAACTGCATAACATAACAATACCCTGTGACTGCTAAAAACTATGAGGGAATTGTGTTCCCCATAACTGAATGTGAAGGTAGCCAAGTCTGTCCAACCATGCTTGCCCAAGATATTACATCCAGTCAACTGAATGTTATAACAAGTTTTGCATAGTTATCTCCCTTACCACCCTGGTTTCTTCTTGAGTTTTCTCTAAGTTGCCATGCACAATCTTCATCCTCTTGAAGTGTTTGCTGCTGCTGTAGTGTTGCTGGGCTTGCACAGTTGAATTGAAGACTATGTTGCGCAGAGAACACATCCCTGCTTCTGCCTGCCCCTCTGTAGACTTACGCTTCTTCACACTGCCAGGCTATCAGGAAAATAAATCACACCAAATCATATGTGATCAAGTGAATATGATTTTATGTCACTTCTTTCTAGTAATGCGTGTAAAGGTTTGTTCCTCCACCTCCCACCATAACTATAGTGAGTGAGTTTAGTTTTACGCCACTCTCAGCAATATTCCAACTATATGGCGGCGGTAAATAATAAAGTCTGTAAATAATCGAGTCTGGACCAGACAATCAAGTGATTAACAGCATGAGCATCGATCATTGGGAACTGATGACATGTGTCAACCAAGTCAGCGAGCCTGACCACCCCGATCCCGTTAGTTGCCTCTCAAGACAAGAATGGGTTACTGAAGGTCAATATTCTAACCCGGACCTTCACGGGTCCCACCATAACTATAAAGCAATACTGACCCATCTGACCAGTAGTTAAAACATTCATTAGCCCTGATGAACAGGAACTATCCCTTACTACTGCACTTACATCTATAAACATCTATCTCTATATATAATAAAGTGACGGTTAGAAGTTTAGTCTGTGTTAAATACAGTGGCTTTGATATAGATAAGGCTTCTCTTCCGGGTTTAAACAAGCCGCTATCCCCACGCAGTCATTTTTAGCAAGTATTAGTGCTTGAATGATTACGAATCTGTGTTGTATCAAAGGCAATTACATCTTGGCCTTCTCCTCTACTTGAACATGCTCCATTGTTACTAGTAAGAGAGCCGCCCGGCAATACTGGATGGACACAAACTGCTGCTGTTGTGGTGGCTCACCTCTTGTTCCTGTGAAACTGCACCTACTCCTGGTGTGCTCGTCAGTCCTGGAAACAGTATCAAAGCTGCCTTTTGACAATAATAAACTAAAGTAATCCTTCGGTAACACTACGTATTCTTTATGTAGAACAAACAGTTGAAACACTGTGGGTGACAATTGTGTTGGTGTAACCGTGCAGTATATAACAACTTGTCAGCTTATTGATATGTAACGCCACCTAATGTTGAAACTGCCTCCGTGTTGTAGTGGTTAGAGCGTCCGCCCGGAGAGCGTTAAAGAGCCAAAAACGTTAAAATATGGTACTTTGTTGGTCCTTGCCTGGCGCTCGGCATTAATGGGTACAACAAGGACTGGTCGGCTCGAGTCAGTACAATGTAATGTGTCTGAGTGGGTTATTCATGCTTCACTGCGGCATTGTATCTCTGCGGGCAAGCACTATGAAACCAGCTTAAGTCTGGGCTAATACAAGCAGCCGCACACACATACACACACATGCACGTCGTCATATGAGCAGAAATATTCTCAAGCACGACGTTAAACCCAATTTCACCTCACCTCACCTAATGTTGAAGAGAATAAAATCTGCCAAAATGCTGATGTCAGAGGCTTTCAAGGGCAAGTCTTAGACCATGGTGACCCTAGCTAAGTTTTCAGGAGATTACAGGCTTATGACAGTTCAAAAATCAAATATGATGAAACATTCATCACAGTGACATATTTGCATGTATAAGGAGGTTTCCCTTGAAGTTGAAACAAATCCACCTCTTTTTGCTCATTTAAGCCACTCTCCCGCATTTTACAAGAAGGGTTCAAAAGAGTCCCAATTTTTTACTCAAGTACCTAAGGTAAATAACTCAAATCATACTTGATTCTCCAATAATAAGAAACTGTTACATATGCTTGTTTGTGATTTCATAACTGACAGAACAATCAACCGGTGAAATAAATTATACACATTAAAACTCAACTGTTTCACATTAGCTGAGCAGTACATCTCAACAACGACATATACTATGTTGTGTAGGTTTGTTTGCTCTGTTCCTCTGTTCCTCCTACTGTTGTGTTCCTCTACATTAAAATTTTAACTTGTGAGGTGAGGTGAAATTGGGTTTTAACGTCGTGCTTGAGAATATTTCGCTCATATGACGACGTGCATGCGTGTGTATGTGTATGTGCGGCTGCTTGTACTAGACCAGACTTAAGCTGGGTTTATAGTGCTAGCCCACTGAGACACCATGCCGCAGTGAAGCATGAATACCCTACTCAGACACATTGTACTGACTCCGAGCCGACCAGTCCTTGTTGTACCCATTAATGCCGAGCGCCAGACAGGGACCAACAAATACCATATTTTAACGTTTTGGGTATGCCGCGGACGGGGATCGAACCCGCGACCTTCCGCTCTCCGGGCAGACGCTCTAACCAGTAGATTACGGAAGCGGTCATTTTAACTTGTACACCTAGCAACAGGATATTTTCTTAAACAACATTTTCCAATGATGGGTATAAAATAGCAATATTATTTAGTATAGGGTATAAATTGCCATGTACCATACTGACATTTAATAGACAATTCACGATTTGGGTTATTTTGTCATTCATTGTTCTCGTTTGATCTCAGCTGAACTCACCCTCCACAGGCAGTCCTGCAGCCATCATCTTCTTCTTGTGTGCTTTTCCTTTCATATGCTGCTGCAGCTGTTCCGGGGAATTGACAGTGAGACTGCACACTGTACATGTCGACATTATGCTCCTCAAATCTATAAAATTGGAAAACAAATTATCCTTGTGGAGTCCTACATATGCACAAAAGCAATCTTAACACACCACAACAATCGTAACTCCCATACTTTAACACAGACCTACAATGGCCATAGCGTTAAGTTTGATTTAACTTTCAACATGTATAAGTTGTAATAGCTGAAAATAATAATAAATACATCTGCCTGGACTGACTTGTGATTATTATTCTCATATTTCAGTATCATCATGTTTTAAGGGCTTTTTGATTTCTGTGTGTTCTTCAGGGGATAAAATAATCACCCTATTTTAAACAAATATGTAGGTACTAATTAAATCTGTGACAGGAGACACATGGTAGACAATGGCAGGCATGACAGGGTAAGAGTTCCGCCCGTAACCCCCGCTTGAAATGTATTCTATTTATTAGGATTATTTCGAGGGTTTAGGGTTAGATTTTAGGGTTAGGTTTAGGGTTATGCATAGGCTGTTTATAAAAAAACATAGACACATTTTCTTAAGCATATAATGATTTTAAACAATACGTGGGTTACGGGCGGAAATCTTTCCCATGACAGTCTTGGTAGACAACGGTACACATGGCAGTCTTGGTAGATAATGGACATGATGGGGACTGTTCCCATGGTAACAGTAATTCAGGTAAAATTATTTTTGCTACCACGAATACAGGACACACACCTAATCTGAATATCCATGATTATGCTATCAAAAATCGTCCTAAAGGATTAAATATTTTAATAGCCTGATAATTATGTTATTTGTAGTCTTAGTCTGACATGTCTGTAGATGCTAATGTTGAACAAAATCCACCTCTGAATAAGCTAGAAGCACCGACATCAAATACCATTAGTGGCATCCCGTATTTGCCAATGCAGGACTGACTCGGACTAAACTACAAATGTTACACGGAACGCATTCTAAAATACCAAAAATGGCACCATAAATTCAAGATCTATCAGCCTTGTTTGAAATATCTACGTAATTAAATCTAGAACACAGAAACAGGTTCACACCAACGAACACAAGTACACGATTAGAACAAACAAAACAGAATTATAGCATGTCAGAACGAACCGTAAAAACGCGTCAGTTTAAGCGTCTTTGATTAATATTCTGCGTTATCTCGGTCGTCGCTATTTTACACCCTCTCAGATAACATGGTGTGGGACTGAATTTATCGACTTGTACACCCTGGTTGCATCTCGCGTATTACTCAAAGTGACTGTCATTGTAGGTGCGCGCCGAAAATACATGTGCGCCAGCGAGGACCGTATGTAAACAACGGAAGAGACAAACACATGTGACAGGTTTCATTGGATAGAATAGTGAAAGATGTTTAAGTTTGATGTTGTTTAAAGCGCATCCATACAGTAAATAAAACTGACCGCAATTTTAAGTATTGTCATGAGTAATCTATTTTTCCAAATGCGGCCGCTGTTTCCAACACACCTAGCGTGGGGAGACCATCTATGTAGGCAGTTTTCGGCGATTTTTAAAATATTTTGGTAAGAGATGGAAAGGTATGGTCTGCATATGAAATGTAGACGGATATCTCAGCATTTCAGAAAAAAATACAGTGAGTCTCAGTTCAACGCCTATGCGGTGATGCGGCCGCTGTTTCAACACACCTACGCGCACACACGAACACGGTGGTGGAATATACTGATGTTGACTGGGTTGACACTGTGTCATTGATACCACTGTGTCATTGATACCAATGAATCACAACGCTTGCCGACTGACTACATAAAGTTTGTAATATTAGACGAGAGACAGGCAGAGGCGTTGAATTGCCTCCCTTGAAAATGGTACAGTCGATAAATTCAGTCCCACACCGTGTCATCTGAGAGGGTGTAAAATAGCGACGACCTATAATATCAGCCCTTATATCGATTGAAACTTGCACTGCGACACAATGGGAAATTCAAGTAAGTACATGTTTATGTCTTTTATCATCAAATCTGTCTTCTATTATGCAATATGTTGGGTGAATAGTATGAGCATTCTATACTGACAATAAGGATCTGATTTTTACATGCGCTACATATCTCCCGCTAGATTTAGAAAATCTCCCACACGCTATCAAATCAGACAATTTTGCTTAATTACATATCTTTGCCATGCAATCCAGATGGGCCGTTATACATGGCGAGGAATGTGTGTTTCATTTATAACGACCGAGTGTGGAATAACGAGGGACGACAACGCCGTGTCGTATAACGGGGATTCGCTGTATATCTAAATGATACTGATAGAATAATTGAAGCATAAAATGTACAACTGAAGGTTCACAACAGTTTAATATCACAGTAGATGAAACTTCGTTCATCTAAAGTTATTGATGTCAGATTGACATTCTCTCTGCAACATAAAGTAGTCTAGTATATATCGTAACGTATTGCACACGGTATTGTCAGCGAGCGCTGAAGACTTTGCTGATGTCAGACATTATCAGCCCACACAACACATTGAGCACAAGTATTATCAATTCTCGAGGAATTGACCTCCTTTGAATTTGCCGACCCCACACTGTTAACACGGACGCGCGTGAACTTGTAGTGTTTTCGTGGAGACGCACATTCCAGTCGGTTCAAAGGCCGGATCGCCTAGGTTATAAGAGCCCGTTCATTATCTATCTGTCTGCCTGTCTGTCTGTCTGTCTATCTGGGCTGGAGACATTAGAACCTACTTTCCGAATATAATTAAAATTTCCTAAATGTGTTTATGCACTTCATTTCACCTAAAACGTAGTTCTGATCTTTCATGACATGTGAGGGGCTGTGGGGTAGCTTAGTGGTTAAAGCGTTCGCCCGGGTTCGATTCCCCACATGGGTACAATGTGTGAAGCCCATCTCTGGTGTCCCCCGCCGTGACATTGCAGGAATATTGCTAAAAGCGGCGTAAAACCCAACTCACTCACTCGCTCATGACCTGTGATGATCCAGATTAGAGGCATCCAGATTAGAGAGGATCTCTGACTTTGATGCCATGTGTCTACGCGAACTAGATTTCTGGGGATCGAATCCTAACGCGGGTCCAATGAGGTTGTTGTTGTCCACGTAGTGCACTCCAGTTTACATGTGCTTCAATATTATGTTCTATTCTTAGGAGACGACAGCCTGGAGCAGACATCTTCGGACTGTCGCGACGCTCAGAAACGAACTGCACGTAAACTGCGGACGCTTGCGCGGGCGTTGCGAGAGAAACAGAGACAGATGAATATTGCTAAAGTGTCCTTCCACTCTGCTGGTATTGTTTCCGGTGGATTGTCCCTCGCAGGCGCCATTCTCGCTCCTTTCACTGGAGGTCTGTCCATCGCACTTATAGCAGTAGGTGGAGGAATGGGGAGTAGCTACCGGGGTAGGTGACCTGACAACTCAAGCAATTGAGTTCACCGTTGTCAACAAGGCAATAGAAGACGCCCAAGCAGAACTCGACCGGCTGAGTAGGAAACTGAAGAAATTAGTCGAAGAACTAACAAGTCGACTGAAAGGCTACGGAATGTCAGCATATGAAATTGGGCGGATGTTAAAAACAAGTGGTGGCATGGCATATGGGGTTTATTCGTTCCATCAACAAATCAAGAAAGCCATTGCCATCGTAAGAGCAGCGTCTCATGCTCAGAAGATTGCACTGTCCCTAGACGGTGGACAGGTTGTTGCCGATGCTGTTGAAGGTGCAGTGGCCGGAGCGAGAGCAAATCCGAAACTCGCAGGTGGGGTTGCTGGGTTTAAGGCTCTCAGCAAGGGTGCCAAAGCCCTCCGCGTTGCCGGTGGTATTGGGACAGCGATAGGAATTGGTTTGAGCATTAAAGGACTTGTTGAAGACAGCATCAAAGTTGAAATTAATGTATCTGAAGTGGCAGATGTGCTGGAAAAAATGGCCGACAAGTTGAAGGAATGCTGAACCATCACGAGCGACTGCATGTATGTATTGAACAGAGGTGTTCACGTGACACAAAGGGGAATAACTCTCTCATCGGCCAGAGTATATAATTCCACAAATGGCAAATCCACTATTCATTTGTATCTGTGGTATAAGGCGTTGGTACATTTCATAACATTGCGCTGTCTATTTTATCAATCTGTTATCTTCTCGTATATCTGGTTTCTCACTGCATTGCCACCCTGAAACATCATTTGTATTAATAAAACAGATGCGAGTGTCAGAACTGGTGAAGCCGCTACCAATATTCCAGCACGGCGGGGACACCAGAAATGACATATCTGGGGAATGTGTGTTCACTAGAATAGCAGACAGAGAATATGTTGTGACCACGTGTCCTTTCGTTTCTGTCCAATGATTATTGTTTATACGTGACATATATTTTGTTTACTTTCAGACAAAATGACTCTTAATCTCAGACAGTCTGTACTTTACATTGGTTCCTCTTTAATGTATTCTCTGGGATGTATTACAGAATTTTGTATATTTTGAACATTTGTTATTGTTTTATGTACATGGAGTGCCCAATCGTCGCAAATATGTTAACTTGTAGAAAAAAATATTCAAGATTTCTTCACATTCTTCACATTTTGTGATTAGAATCCGTCATGCACCCTGAATATGTATCGTCACATTATGTCAGTTGTACAGTCGTACTCGTTTGTACATGTATGTTCCATATCATCCATACGACCGTCTCCGCAGTGTAGTGGTTAGGGCGTCCGCCCGGAGAGCGGAAGGTCGCGGGTTCGATCCCCGACCGCGTCATACCAAAAGACGTCAATATATGATACTTGTTGTTCCCTGCCTGGCGCACGGCATTAATGGATACAACAAGGACTGGTCGGCTCGGAGTCAGTATAATGTGTCTGAGTGGGGGTATTCATGCTCAACTGCGGTATAGTACATCAGTGAGTTAGCACAATAAAACCATCTAAGTCTGTGCACGCACGTCGTCATATGAGTGAAATATTCTTAAGTGCGACGTTAAACCCCATTTCACCTCGCCATATCATTCACACAGACTGATTTGTCAGCTCCCCACAACAGCTAGTTGTAAAGGGACAGGGCAAGCACATTTCGGTTTTGTCGTTCAAACGCAATTTATAAGCAGCCAATTCAAAGTTTATTTAAGGTGAGAAATCAGCCGTTCTTTACATATCACTACAATGAATACACCGTGAGTAAATGTACAAAAGTTTGATATAGATCTATTTACACATAATAAAACATTTAGACGAAACATTGTGTATTCAGTCTCATCCACAGAGGAAAACATGTTAACAGCTCTGAAGTATTGTTGTAAAATCCAGTATGTTCATTACTAATGTTAACAGCAAAACAGACTATGACTATAGCATATTCTACAGGATGAATGACAACTGTTTGCCACACATTAGATGTTGTCAACCTGTTGTTTGAATATTGTCATGGGGTCACAGGTGAGGCAACCTGCAAGAGCATACCGAGAAAATGGTGTTTCACAAAAAAAGCCGATCCTGCTGAAAGGTTTCTAAGACAATATATTAAAGGTTCTGGCATTCTTGCCCTTATGAAAGAAGCATTTCGTTAAACGGCTGAACTTCTGAGTTCTGAGACTTCACAATATCTTGAGAATCACATTTACCATTTTTGGGAATTTTTTGGAATGTACAGGAATTGTCACCAACAACAGCTTCACTCAATAACGCCAAGTGCATTGGCCATATTTGCAACAACATCAGCAACGTTGTTTTTGACATCGTTCAGGATCGTTGACAATTCATCGTTGCAAAACCGCCTTGATTTCGAAGGCAACACCAGCAGGTTTCATTACTCTACCAGCCTTGATCTTTCTTAGGGAGGTTATCCCTCGTCTGAACTTATATAGCGATGTTGTGGACACCAACCTCCTCTGGCTTTAGACCAACGGCCACCCACTGGACTTGTAGCGTCTTGCCCGTCTTCCACATTTTGGGGGACAAGCCAGTTTCGTTTTTGTTCTGCATTAATGTGTCATAGTCTGGGACATCTGTATATTTCCTTTTCCTTCTTAAGGCCGCGATTAACTCCTGTGTTTTTCTGTCGGCTGGTCTAGAATACTCTGAACCCCGGCAATACGTTTTGTCATCTCCTGAATAATTTGACGGTTTGGAGTCAAATTCGAATTTCAGCCAAGACAAATCCAAAACATTTCTATATATAGTAATGGGTATAGATGAGAGTAGTTATAACCGACCAATTGTTAAAAGTCTAAGCCGAGGAAGGTGTTATTAGTTTATGAAAAGCAGTTGCACTATTATATAATTCTTCTATATAGTGTAATTAGGTCCCGAGACCTTCTAGTTCCGAATCTGGTTTAGAACAGATCCCCAGCAAATCATACTGGTCCTGGGTGTTTAAATCCTTTACCGGTGAAGTTACAATCGGTTTTAAGCGACCCATTCCTGTCGTAAAAGGCGATCAAGGGGATCGTGTGGTCAGGCTCGCTGACCTAGCTGATGCCTGTCTTAAAAGGCGATCAAAGGGGATCGTGTGGTCAGGCTCGCTGACCCTGGCTGGTAGTAAAAGGCGATCAAGGGGATCGTGTGGTCAGGCTAGCTGACCTAGCTGGTGCATGTCATCACAGACAATGCTCATGATGTAAACCACCGTATTGTCTTTCCAGATTCCTTTATTTACAGATCGCCTTCATATGGCTGGAAAATTGCCAAGTGCGGCGTTTATCAACAAACAAACAAAATCTCTAATTACTGGCCTCAGATTCCAACCAGGACACCAACATTTCCCCGGCCACACCGGTGATTCCAGCTGTAGCCCCGGCACCCATAAGTACCGCGGACATTCCCAAGTTACAAAACTCGCAGCTGCCCCAAAGAGTATCATCCCCTGCAGCAACAGCAGACGCAAATGTCCCTTGGCAAACTTGGCATCCTTCTGTTGCTTGCTTATGAGCTCTGACAATGACTTGAGTTTCTCAGCTGCAGATTTTTGTTCATTTAGGCATCTTGTTGTTTGGTTTCCTATCAAGGTAGAACCTGAAATAAGGAGTTCTTTTAATATATGGATTTTCTTCTTTGTGAATTTCAAAGCGAAGCAGAAGATACTTTAGTTTAAACTGTTGCTTTTACTTTTGTCCTCAAGTATATAAGAATCTTCTCATTTTCTCGGTGTAAAGCCCATTTCTGGTGTTCCTCCCCGTGATATTGCTGGAATATTGCTAAAAACGGTGTAAACCAGAACTCGTTCATTTTCTTTCAAATCATTCACATGCATAAACTGTCAGTGAACTGTTAATGTACCTGTTACATAAATCATTCTACAGTAGACTATTGGTTTCAGTTTACATAGCTTAAAACATCCATTACTCTGTGATACAAGGTCTCTGGTTAACCATCTTGTTGAATCAAATACATAATTATACAAATCATTTAATCGATCTGTCTTGCTGCGATAGATCGAAATAACAAAGAATGTTTTTGATTGGCAGCTAATAAAATAGTAATGTGAAGTAATTTGAGGATAGCTTTGGAATGATAGCGGCGGATTTTACGTTAGTGTGGAGGTGGGGCATACTATCAAGTTAATGATTTTCTGGTTCCATGTAAACTCTTGGGTGAATATCTTCAGGAACGAAGGAAGATGATAACACATACCTGAATTACCCATTGGAATTAGAATTCGGTCGCTATGTGTGTGTACAACAGGAATGCTGTGCTGAACTTCAGTGTTCGGTGGTCTTCCTCGACTTGGTTATCTGGGTTTTAACAAGTCAAACATGTCTACTGAAACAGTCTCGTTTAAAGTGGGGTGTTCCATTTGTACCTTGGGGAGTGTAAGGTATATTATGCCTTGACTATACTATTTTCAGCGGAGAGTGAGAGGGGGTGAGGTGAGGTGAAGTAAAATGGGGTTTAATGTCGTACTTAATATTATTTCCCTCATATGTGGCTGCTTGTACTAGCCCAGACTTAAAAGCTGGTAATATATTGCTAACTCACTGAGATACCATGCTCATGCCGATCCGACCTGTCCGAGCGCCAGGCATGGACTACTTCATGACATTTCCTTCTGATTCATACAAATATACTTAGAAGTCGTGTGATCTAACTTGTGCAAACAAATCCCGGATTCAATAAAGCATGGTCCAAGATGCTTTACATCCAAGTTTAGAGGATTGATTCTTGCTAACCTTGCTAAGATATCCATAATGAGTTACCAAGACATAATGTCTGAAGAATTATAACACATTCAGGATATCAATGTTAAAGCATGTCCAAATCATAATGTGCTTCAAGCTTTGGAATAATAACCTTGACACAGAATAGCGCCTTCTGACTGTAAAATAACAGAAATTGCTCTGCAAACATCACAGAACAATGATGCGAACAGTCTTTGTCCATACATATTCCAATTTTTAAACAATGAAATATGTTTAACAAAACACACGTGGCTCAGTTACAAAATTCGTTGGATTATGTTCAAACTGAAAATAGCTCATCGAAAAGGTTTATCACATGTGATTAACTAGGGTTTAGTCCAATAACAGTAAATTATAAAGTGTATCTAGATTTGTTGCACCCAAAAACTATCTGATATATTATCACTCATCTTGTTTCAGTCTGAATGATGACAAAGTAGTATAAATGTATTAATCATTCTTTCTGAACAAAGTATGTCCTCGACTTCTAAGCAGATAAGAGGATGTACATCAACACTCAAGGAAGCACTAGTGCTTAACTACCACAGTGCATTCAAGAATCCCTGTTATAGTGATCTACTCATACAAACTATCCACTACATTATGTCTCAGTCACGGAGGTCACATGGCCGTTTATTGTGACCACACCTGTCGCATACTGAACATTTTACTCTCAGTTCAACTCTTTTACAACATTCAAAGGATTCACGACTGTTCTGCTTCAGAATGATTTGTTTGAGAGCTTCCCTGCCCTTATGAGATGTAGAATGAAAATACCATTTAGTTGTATTGCCATTTAACTTTTCAAATCCTTGTTGGTTGAATGTCACCAAATTACCCTGTAATCTAAGCATATCTGTGATGTGATTTAATATGATATATAAAATATGCATATAAGGCGTCATATTATTGCTTTGGTAAACAAGTCAAAAGGTGGCAACCACTTTACATCTCTCATCAAGAGCTAAAATGTCACTTTGTTCAAATCTTTCTTGTTGTAGCTGAAAAAGAATATTTT